AGGGCATTTTAATATTAAGAAATAATTTTTTTATTCATCGATATCTACATTTTATACGAATGAATACAAACATGACTTTCATTTGAAAGATCTGATTTTAAATCAAACCATTTGAAATAGTTCTGTATGTTTTGATAAATTATTTGTAATTTTATTATTTATTATTTGGATTGATTGTGAAACAGATCACTGAATATAGAGAGTATTTGGATCCCACTGCGAAAAAGTTCGTCTTACTACGGTAAGACCATTTATTTTCTATCAAACAAGTTGACCATTGATTTATTTTTAGGAGCAAATTCATCGGTGAAGCAAAGGACACCCCTCTGTCGTTGGCACAATCAAAGGCCACCAGTTCGCTCCAGTCTGCCAATGATGACAGTGCTGCTCATAAGGTGAACGAGCCGCCTGCAGATACTCCGTCGCAGTCCGCACGTCAAAAGGCCGCTAGTTCACGCCAGTCTGCCAATGATGACAGTGCTGCTGATGTGGTGAACGAGCCGCCTGCAGATACTCCGTCGCGCAAGAAAACAGGCTTCGTAAAGGCATGTCCACGAAGTTTGAAACCAGCTTCTTATGCTTCGAGCTCCGACGATGAAAGTTCTATTCCATCTGGTGTAGAAAAGCTACCTGCAGCTTCTCCGTCGCAGTCTGAACATCAAAAGGCCGCCAGTGCATTCAAACCACCTCGACTTACTCGATTGAAGCATCTGGATATGCTGCAGAGGATTGATAATGGTCCGTCCGATGATGAGGAGCCTTTGGGAACCAGTTCAACGAAACGCTCACATAAGGTAGGTGCTGTTGGTGATATCTCTTTGGAAGATGATGGTGCTTTTGAACCTCCAAAAAGAGTACGCACAGTGGCAGAAAAGAAGGATTTTCCCCGTCGATATGGAACCAGGGGCGCCACGACTCGAAATGCTAGCAACACGAAGAAAGCTCTCGCAAAAAAGACATCGAAAAAGACATCGAAATAGCGTGCTGTTCGCTAACTTTGGAAGCCACAAACAAATTAATCAACGTTTTGACCGTCCGTCCGTGCGGTCAGAAAACTACTAATCACTCAACTTTCTCATCGCCAATCAAAAAGCAAATATAATTTAAGCCTTAGAATAGATAAAAATGGAATTTAAAAAAAAAACTAAATTTGTAATATCAAAATCACAACCATTTTTTCCATCATAAATCGTACGTGACCGTCCGTGACCGTCCGTCCGTCCGTGCGATTGGAGAAACGAAAAAATTTGTAATCATTCAACTGTGTGAACACCAACAGAAAACAAAAAATAATTTCAGCCACTGGAGGCTACATGAACTTAGATAAGATAAAAATGGAATCAAAAAAGACTAAATTTGTAATCCCAAAATCACAACCATTTTTTTCATCATAAATCAACGTACGTGACCGAATGTCCATGCGATTGTAAAAACGACAATTTTGTAATTTTGACTTATTCGTACAAAAATAATAAAATTGCCATTATTAACGCAAATTGCGTTTTTGGTAATTGTAAAAATGCTGTTTTTTATTATTTACATAGTTTTCACGTACGTGTCCGTCCGTGCCCGTCCGTGTGGATGTCCGTCAAGGTCCGTCGAATGTCCGTCAAATGTCCGTCGAATGTCCGTCGAATGTCCGTTGAATGTCTGTCCGTACGTGACCGTCCGTGACCGTCCGTGCCCGTCCGGGGAGTTAAGTCCCTGAGCCCTGAAGTATTACGTCCAATTCCATCAAAATAGACATCATTGATATCAGTGTCGTCTTGGCCATTCTCGTTGTAATTATTTTGTACCATGTCTTCATCTCTCGCTTCATTGAAATTAATAATTTCATTGACAAAGTAGTCACCATTGGCATCTTCCATAAATTGAGTTACGATGTCATTGCTCTCGGCTTCATCGCGCAAATCCTCTGCTGGGTCTTTTTCTTCATAATCCAGCTCTTCATTATCATCATCGTAAGTTGAGACAACCACATCAATGCTGCTTCCATACATCTTGAACATTTTAGCAAATGAGCTGCCGCCGTCTGTTACGATGTTCGTGATTTGAGACTTTTTCAGTCCATATTCATTGAATATTTCATCTAATGCTGTACCTAGCTCTTTGTATGTTTGTCGTTGTTGAAGATTTTTAAATGCGAGGACGTATGATTCTCGACAAAAGTCCTTGTTAATATAATGAACGGTCACTCCTAAAAAGCTTTGGGCTCTCGATGACCAAACGTCAGCCGTCACGCAAACATACTTCTGCTCTTTCAATTTACTGCGAAGTGTATCTTTAACTTTATTGAATTCTTTGTCTAAACAAGTCATGAACGAGTGGCGTTTTGGCATTTTTATTTTTCTTCCACTGATACCTTCCAACAACTCATGGAGCGTTTTCGATTGTGCCACGTTGAATGCCAGATTTTCATTAACAATGAAGTTCAATATCAATGATGCGGTCTATATGATAGGAATAGATAATTCGGAATTATTAATTCCATTTTAAAACCATTTGTAATTAAATGTTCAAAACACAAAACACAAATCACCACAACCAAATCGGTGAAAAGCTACAAATCAAATAATATTTGATTTATGAACTGTTGTTTACCTTGTCCGATGTTAATGTGTTTAAAGCATCATTTAATGTTGGTTGAGAACTTTGTTTGGTTAGCACTACAACGGATTTGAGGTGCTCTTTGAGCTTATTTACTTTATCCTTATGTTTTCTTTTATAGTGGCTGTGGAAATTTCCCGTACTCGAAGTAGTTCCTTGAACAATTGCATTGCAAAGTGTGCATTCAACGGTGAGACTCCCATCCTTATCAGACATCAAGTTGAAAAATTTCCCATCCAAAATTTTTGGGTAATTTTTCTTTGGTATTTTTGCTGGTGGTGCATTTGATTCTTGATTTTCTAGCCGTTGCTGAGACGAATCTAAGACTAAAAACAATTTGTTTATAATTTAGGAGTTTTAAGTTTTGAGATTTAATCACACAAACAAAGTAATATTTTGTAAATCTCAACAACAATTTAATGAGTGTAGTGAAATTCATCTACCTGTTTAATTTTCTTCGCCATCGATGTTTAGGTAATCATGCAACCTTTTTCCATTTCTCGTTTAAGTGGGCATTTTTGACGATTTTTTTTTTGCAAAAATAGAAACGCGTACACACAAAATATTTATATTTTTTTAATTATTTTTTTATAAAATCGGTTTTGACCAAAAGAGGTTTGTTGTATTATGCATAGTCACTTGAGTTTGGTTATGTGTCAATTGAATTGTTGTCACAATTTGACAGCTTAGTCAGCCGATGACAGTTGCGCACTTGAAAATATCAACCAATGACTTTTTTCATTTCTTCTCAATCGTTTTCAATTGATTAGGTAAACTGTGATTGTTCATTACGTTCTTTAAGAAATATTATTTCTAGTTATTTTATTTATTACTGAGAATAACTAGTGTATGTTACAAGTATGGAAAAACAAATTTTCGCCAACGAAAAAGGTAAGTTTCTCACGTACCGCGCCTACCCGCTGCCACCCGGTGAATATACATTACATATAATACAAATTTAGCGGATGATCACCCGGAGGAGAATCTACTGTATAAACCACAAGGCAAATGCTAGACCACCAACGCCATCTATTGATTTTTGTAGAAATCATTAAAAGACCTGAGCTTCATGTCAAGTCTACTATTAAGTCTAAACCTTAGACTTAACAGGGGACTTGACATGAAACTCAGTACTTTACTTTAACTTAACTTACATTTGAGCTACTTAAACTAACTTAATAGCAAAACGTCAAACCAAATGGTAGTTGTACTCGCTGTTGACGTCTATTGTATTTGCCTTGTGGTATAAACAGAGTACACATAGTACGTAGCGCTACGTGTGTATGGTACACAAAGAGCGCTACGTGCTATGTGTACTCTGTATACACAGTAGACTCTCCTCCGGGTGATCACCCGCTGAATTTGCATTGTATGTAATGTATATTCACCGGGTGGCAGCGGGTACTCGCGATACGTGAGTCGTTACAATTTCTCCAATTGGAGACTCATTGAATTGAAATATCTATTTCAAGTAATACTTGAACAACATTAAACATATGTGTTGTGGAACCATATGTGTTATATATGGACTAAATTCATTCCAGTTAAAATATATCTGACGAGTTGCTTGCATCTAGCTGATAAAATTTCGGTCACCGTGTCTGAAGTTGAGAATGACTATCAAAATGATCTACACAAATTAAAACCGGTCACAGTTAAACTGAAAAGATTTTCGAAAGAGGAAATTGAAGCATTGACATAGGTTTGCATTAATCAAATTCAGAGTTGTTATCAAGAAGAAAAAAAAACAAATATTATTTGTAAATTGTTGTTTTCATCTAAATTTAACAAATTTTATCCACTTTCAGTCACCAAAAGCTGATATTGTTGTTGAAAATGACAAAAAATCAATCAGTTTCAGCCGTTCTATGGTCACCCGTTCTATGAAAAAGAAAATAGAGCACGATCATACGGTTGAAATTGACACAAAAACAGTAAGTTGCTCTGCTTTGATACTAACATTGTTAGTCTAACGACAATTATCTTTTTCGTTTTCTAGAATTACGTGCAAATATTATTTGCAAATTATTGTTTTCAACTAAAATTAACAAATTTTATCCATTTTCAGCCACCAAAAGCTGATGTTGAACAATTTTTGAGAAAAAGAAAGCGAACGGATACCGTTTTGGTTGAAAATGACCATAAAACAGTAAGTTGCTCTGCTTTGATACTAAAATTGTTAGTCTAATGACAATTATCTCTTTCGTTTTCTAGAATTACGTGCAAATATTATTTGCAAATTATTGTTTTGAACTAAATTTAACACATTTTATCCATTTTTAGGCCAAACAAACAACAAAGAAAAGAAAATTGACGGACGGAAGTGCCATGGCCCAAGAAAATGTGGTCGCTGAGATGCAGTTCAAAGTGGGAGAAGTAGTATGGGCCAAAATAAAGGGGTTCCCACATTGGCCGTGCGTGATAAAAGCATTTGACAAAAATATGGCTCTGGTATTTTGGTTTAACGACTACAGACAAACGAAAGTATATAAAACGCAGCTGTTTAAATTTCTCTCAAACTTCGACACATTTTCTCAATTGTTCAACCAGCGGGTCGGATAAAAAATATTGCGCATAAAAAATAAACAAATTATTAATTCGTGAGATTTTTTTTCCATTTGGATTAGTTTAATCAACACTGTTCACTTTATTTCTTCATAAAATCAATATAAAATAATTGTAACTTCAAGTTATTTGTTTATTTCAATATCGTTGGTTTACATTTGAAATCTTCCACAAACTCATTTCCATCGCATGCCACCATAGAGCGGTTCGATAGCCGTACTCTTCACACACATAGTTTTAACCAATGTCTCATCAGCTGTGTATTCGCTCTAAGCGAATCGCTCACTTGTTTCGTTTTGTATGCGTGCGTTGTGACAAACCGTTTGTCACAAAATGTACAGTGCGAAATGTCACCGATGTGCTAACTTATGTCAAATGTGAAACACAGAATATTGGGCAATTCAAAGATAAAGTGTTTATAAAAATCAACAAATTTATTAAATTTGAAAAAAAAACACAGTGCAACAATTGGAAAAAAAAGTCAGACAACCAAGACTTGGCATATCAGAGGTGTTAGTACTACCATAGGTGAGCAAAACCCTA